ATTATCCACCAGTTAATGTCGTATCACCGTGCAAATGGAACATTAGACGTTTGTTTGCATCATAAACTGGGTGCGGTCTATATATTTGTCACTGGTCTCTCTCACAATAAAACAACCACCCCTGTTCCATTCCATCCCACATCCCCTACTCAACTCTATCAGCCTCTATTCATCCCATTCTCAGCTCCCGAAATTAAGAGACTTGAGGTTTCCTTAATACCTGAGGGTTGTCTTATAGAATTGTTTTCTGTGTAACTTTATTTCAGGGAGTATTTGTTTGACTAGTTTGTCACGAACAAATGCGTCTCACTGTTATTGTATTCATGGTTGTCAGGTCGTTAAACTGGTTTTCTGAAACGGGGCGCCACCGAAGCACAGGCTGCCTCGAAACCTACGTACTTTTTCTTAAGTGGAATTGTGGTGTGCACCCAATAGATCAAACAGTCCATATAGTCACGTTGTCTAGTATCAATATTCGTATAGCTGAATTACGGTGGCCCATAAGGGACACGGAGTCTGTTTTTCAATATTTTGATATTTCACTTACATTTATCGTAACCTTTTGCAAATTAACACGATTTGTCTTACAAATATGTGATAAATCATGTGTAAAGAAGATATTGAATCGCTGAAAAACTAAACGAAAATGTCAAAAACTAAAATGAAAATGTCAAAAACACAAAATGAAAATGTCAAAAACTGAAATGAAAATACAGAAAACTATTTCCACCGCGGTGTAAATAGTTTTCACTTCGGTGGAAATATTATCACCGCGGTGGGAATATTATCACCGCGGTGGAAATAGTTTTCTGTGTATTCATTTTAGTTTTTGACATTTTCGTTTTATGTTTTTGACATTTTCATTTTAGTTTTTGACCTTTTCGTTTTGGTTTTTGACATTTCCATTTTAGTTTTTGACATTTTCACTTCACATTTCAGCGACTCATAAGCTACTTAAAAGTACATTTTCTATGTTTTCGGATGTTTTTATACATGATTTATCACAGATTTGTATGGCAGATTGTGTTAATTTGCAAAAGGTTAAGATAAAAGTAAGTTAAACATCAAAATATTGAAAAACAGACTCCATGTCCCTTATGGGCCACCGTACTGAATAATGTTCTAGTTGTTGATGCTGTCTGATCGGTGTGTTATTGTAGTATTGAACTCATTACGGGCGGTGAGTGGAGATCATGGTAGAGGGTAGAGGGTCCTGATGGGTTTTAATGCTTAACGTAAAACACCCTTCAAACACTATCGTAAACGTAAAATTCATCTTTTTTTATCGTAAATGCTCATCGTAAAATACCAAAAAAACAACTGCTTAACGTAAATAAATAATTTACTGCTTATTGTAAAATGATTAAAATGGTCAAAAACAGTCTGTCTTCAAGACCCAAATGCTTCGCCACAGAAAGCAGGCTGCGCAACTGACGCAGGGGACCAGTCTAGAATGTTTAGCGATTTCAGATTTAACCAGGTATTAAAAATGTGAATTGTCAGGATGAAACGAAAGTAGAATTAAAAGTCCCATGTCCCTCCATGACCGATTTAGAAATTTTTCGCGACGATTTTATTGAAAAATAAGAAAAATTACTGCTTAATGAAAAGTACCCTAAATTTTACTGCTTACTGCTTATGGGACCCACCCATCAGGACCCTCATGGTAGGGATGTACCATGGACTGGTTGTGGGCGGGGCATTATGTGAGCTACACTGTAAAATTGTGTCAGGATGTACATACGGACAACACATGGGATATACATTGTGTTCTGTCTTAACGCATGTAGATCTAAACACAAGAATGAGCTGTCGTCTCACAGTCTAAACAAAACATCCCCATTATGTAAACATGTTTTAAAATTTATACACGTTAAAACCTGTTTAGATTATAAATATACTTGAACATATTTAGATTTTAAACACGTTTAAAATTTAAGCATGTTTCGAATTTAATCACGTTCAAACATGTTTCGAGTTTAAATCAATAGGCAATACGTCAACTGTGGATAGGATTATGAGATATACATATGTATGCAAATCAGATTCACTGGTACTTGCATAACGCATATACCACCAGGACCTATCAACTTGGTACAACGTGACCAAACTCGGTTTACAGTAGTGAGTGAGTGAGGTTGGTTTAACGCCGCTTTTAACAGTATTCAAGTTATATCGCGGCGTGTCAGCTTAATGTGGGAGGAAAGCCCGAAGTGATGCAGGTCACAGACGTTTACCACTTCGGTGAAACCCACGAGCACGGGTATGGTGCTGACAAACCTAGAAACATAATCGGGGCGAACCGGGATTCGAACCCACAATCATAGGTTTCTGGTCTGCCCAAGGGATGCAACCCTGCACAGCGAATCGCGGCGCCTTAGACGACTGGGCCAGTAACTGCGGAGTGGACATACAATAATATAAAGTATTATTCAAATAAGTTGTACAGGACATTCAGCAACAGATTCGTTTTTGTTGGAAAATAGTGGACAAGAGCTTCTTCTGTTTTCGTGCAAAATTTTGCTTTTTGAATTATCAGTACTCCCTCCTAAGAAATTATTGGTCTCTCAATCACTGATGCTGTTTGTCTGGAGATGAGCAGGCCTCTATTGATGTGATGCGGAAAACATTGGTTAGAAGACTCAATCACTGATGCTGTTTGTCTGGAGATGAGCAGGCCTCTATTGATGTGTGATGCGGAAAACATTGGTTAGAAGACTCAATCACTGATGCTGTTTGTCTGGAGATGAGCAGGCCTCTATTGATGTGTGATGCGGAAAACATTGCTTAGAAGACTCAAACACTGATGCTGTTTGTCTGGAGGTGAGCAGGCCTCTATTGATGTGTAATGCGGATTGGTTAGAAGACTCAAACACTGATGCTGTTTGTCTGGAGATGAGCAGGCCTCTATTGATGTGTGATGCGGAAAACACTTGTTAGAAGACTCAAACACTGAGGTTTTAGTTTTGTTCCATATATTGCACAACATAGTAATTATGACGACTTAAGGACGTAGCGATAAAGGCCTTAATGTACCTATGGACCCTGGTTCCTGGGGCAACAGCCATCTCAATGTACTCATTGACCCTCGTCCTAGGAACAAAAGCCATCTTAATGCTCCTACGAACCCTCGTCACGCGGACAACAGCCATCTTAATATTCCTACGAACCCTCGTCACGCGGACAACAGCAATCTTAATGTTACTACGAACCCTCGTCACGCGGACAACAGCCATCCTAATGTTCCTACGAACCCCCGTCATCGGAACAACACCCATCTCAGTGTTCCCACGAAACCTCGTCACGCGGACAACAGCCATCTTAATGTTCCTACGAACCCTCGTCCCAGGAACAACAGCCATCTTAATGTATCTGTGGACCCTCGTGACAGGGATAACAGCATATACGCAGTCTGTGGAATCAATCAATACATGAATTTAATCGAAGGGTGTATACAAATACCACACCAGTCTTTTAATGAGTACAGTCATTACACAGCATATAGTGTAGAACAACACAAGCACGTATGTCACGTGTATCACAGCTCACTCACTCATCAAACACGCGATACTCGCCCGCCACTATTCGCCATCGGTATTATTCCAGAAGTGGCAATCTGGCCGCCGCCATTGAATCCTGCCTTCAGAGAAGTGCCCGTTAAAGCAAGTAATTGACTGATTTGAAAAGTTTGAAATATGCTGATGTCCGACCGCAGAACACAATGAGAGGGGGGGATTCCGCTAAGCCGACCCTGCAAACGGGAGTGGGGGTAGGGTTGGAGGGGGTTGATTTGCTGTCGAGGTCATTGCGCATGTCTCTACACAACATACGTCATAAATCCACGTAAGTGATGCTTCCATTGTGCCGTATGTCCTCCAATACCAGGAGGAGGCGATTATTCCACCTCGCAGTCAGCAGTTTATCTACTTGCAGAAAATTTAAATTGGCAGCTTAGTATAGAGATGAATGTATGGCCTCGCTGCACGGAGTGTGGCGTGACTTGTGTAATGAAGAGACTCACGTCGATATGACTCGCGCCTTTACCGCGCATAGTTCTACATCAGACATGAGTTACAGAAACCATAACCTTCAACTACACGCTAGTCCTGAACTGACCGTCCAACTTTCCCTCCTCCAGAATAACTGTTCTCTCTTTCGACCCATTATTCCCTTCGTGTTTACATTTCCCTCCTTATAACTTTTGTTTCCCATACCCACTGTTCCCCTCTTTACACCCACTGTTCCCCTTTTTGTACCCACTGTTCCCCTCTTTAGACAAACTGTTCCCCTCTTTACATCCACTGTTCCCCTCTTTACACCCACTGTTCCCCACTTTATACCCACTGTTCCCCTCTTTAGACCCACTGTTCCCCTCTTTACATCCACTGTTCCCCTCTTTAGACCAACTGTTCCCCTCTTTACATCCACTGTTCCTCTCTCTAAACCCACTGTTCCCCTCTTTACACCCACTGTTCCCCTCTTTGCATCCACTGTTCCCCTCTTTAGGCCTATTGTTCCGCTTTAGGTTCGCGGCCGCCCTTCTTTAACGCACAACGTTCCCCTCTTAAGGTACACCGTTCCCCTCTTTAAGTCAAAATGGGACCTTCGAGCAGCCTTGTTCTAGTTGGCTCTTCATTCCAAACATGTGTACACTGGTCACACACTGACTTACAGTCAAACGTCGTGTTAAATTGAGCTGTGGCTCATAGAGCAGCATGTATGTGTGTGATACAGTTAGATCTACCCCCACCTACAATTCTTCCCTTTCTGTGTGCGTGCGTTGATGAGATTAATCGAGGGAATCGTTTGTTGCTGTTTTTTGTTTTCTTACTCCGGCAATCACCAATATTCCAGCCTGTGACATAATGGAGTTTGGATTAGACAACTCAGTGATGATATCATGAGCAGCATTCCAGTACCTACGTCACTGAGCCTGGCCTCCCGATCCACAGGAGTCGCCTCTTTGACGAGAAGTGCTGACGACTCATTGTAAACCGGTCTTAGGGCAATGGTTCCTGGTAACTTATGTCCCGAGGATAAGTTTTCTGGTAACAAATGTCCTGGGACAATGGGTCCTGGTAGCTGATGGCCTGGGACAATGGTTCCTTGTAACTAATATCCTGGGACAATGGTTCCTTGTAGCTCATATCCTGGCACAATGGTTCCTTGTAACTAATATCCTGGGACAATGGGTCCTGGTAACTTATATCCTGGGACAATGGTTCCTTGTAGCTTATGTCCTGGGACAATGGGTCCTGGTAGGTGATGGCCTGGGACAATGGGTCCTGGTAACTAATATCCTGGGACAATGGTTCCTTGTAGCTAATATCCTGGGACAATGGTTCCTGCTAACTAATGTCCTGGAACAATTGTTCCTTGTAACTAATATCCTTGGACAATGGTTCCTTGTAGCTAATATCCTGGGACAATGGTTCCTGGTAACTAATGTCCTGGGACAATGGGTCCTGGTAACTAATATCCTGGGACAATGGTTCCTTGTAGCTAATATCCTGGGACAATGGGATCTGGTAACTAATATCCTGGCACAATGGTTCCTTGTAACTAATATCCTGGGACAATGGGTCCTGGTAACTTATATCCTGGGACAATGGTTCCTTGTAGCTTATGTCCTGGGACAATGGGTCCTGGTAGGTGATGGCCTGGGACAATGGTTCCTGGTAACTAATATCCTGGGACAATGGTTCCTTGTAGCTAATATCCTGGGACAATGGTTCCTGCTAACTAATGTCCTGGAACAATTGTTCCTTGTAACTAATATCCTGGGACAATGGTTCCTTGTAGCTAATATCCTGGGACAATGGTTCCTGGTAACTAATGTCCTGGGACAATGGGTCCTGGTAAACTAATATCCTGGGACAATGGTTCCTTGTAGCTAATGTCCTGGGACAATGGTTCTTGGTAACTGATGTCCCGGGAGAATGGTTCCTGGTAACTAGTGTCCTGGGACAATAGTTCCTTGTAACTAATGTCCCGGAACAATGGTTTCTTGTAACTAATGTCCTGGGACAATGGGTCCTGGTAACTAATATCCTGGGACAATGGTTCCTTGTAGCTAATATCCTGGGACAATGGTTCCTTGTAACTAATGTCCTGGGACAATGGGTCCTGGTCACTAATATCCTGGGACAATGGTTCCTTGTAGCTAATGTCCTTGGACAATGGTTCTTGGTAACTGATGTCCCGGGAGAATGGTTCCTGGTAACTAGTGTCCTTGGACAATAGTTCCTGGTAACTAATGTCCTGGAACAATTGTTCCTTGTAGCTAATATCCTGGGACAATGATTCTGGTAACTAATATCCTGGGACAATGGTTCCTGGTAACTAATGTCCTGGGACAATGGTTCCTGGTAGCTCATGGCCCGGAACAATGGTTCCTGGTAACTGATGTCCTCGGAGAATGGCTCCTTGTAAATAATGTCCTGGAACAATGGGTCCTGGTAACTCATGTCCTGGAACATCGGGTCCTGGTAACTAATGTCCTGGGACAATGGGTCCTGGTAAAAAATGTCCTGTGACAATGTTTCCTTGTAACTAATATTTTTGGCGAATGGGTCCTTTTAGCTAATGTCCCGGGACAATGGGTCCTTGTAACTAATGTCCTAGGACAATGGGTCTTGGTAAATAATGTCATGGGACAATGGCTCCTTGTAAATGATGTCCTGGAACAATGGTACCTAGAAGCTTATATCCCGGGACAGTGGGCCCTGGTAGCCTATTTCCTGGTTCCTAGATTACATTAACCTACCCCAGACATTAAATGCTGGAATATTGCGACTACGACTATGATTCCTAGGCGAACACTGTGTCCACTGCAGGCATTTGAATTGATGCAAAACCCGATACTGACAGTGCCAGGCATCGGACTTTCATTTCGGAGGACCGACAATGTTTCCTGGTACCACATGTCCTGGGACAATGGTTCCTGGTAGCATATGTCCTGGAACAAAGAGTCCTGGTAACTAATGTCCAACTAAAAGTCCTAAGACAGTCACCACTAGGTATACATGCCCGGGACGACTTATCCTAGGACATAAAGTCTCGCGGAATTTGCGTTGCTGTGGCATCCACGACACAGGGTGTATACAGGGAGATTGTGTCGCGGTCTGTGATAGGTGTTAGAGTAAACTGGTGCAACTGTTGGTTCGAGCAGCAATCTTTGCGCCCTCAGCCAACGGGCGGAAGCCCAAAAATGTGTTAAACCTGTACCATATTCGGTTAGAGATGCATGTGCTCATTGAAATCCTTCAAAAATCACAACATACTGCTCTGCCGGCGATGTTTTTGGCGAGATCAATTTTACTTTTACAAATGTATGTTCTAGGTAGTCCACCGTTTGTTTTCATCTGTACCCAGGACCAGGGAATGCTTTGTTTTGTGTCGTCCTGTCGCAGCCTATGAGAAATCTACAGAAGCCCAGTCAAATTTTAGTGGAGGTTCATTGTTTCAAATTGTTTGAAGCCTTGACAACAAGTCAAGCCGTTCCAGAAACTCGGGGCAACGACTGGTCGTTCTGTTCCGACTACAGCAAGGAATGTAATAAACTCTGCTTTGCCAACGAAACTGCTGTTTTCATGATCAATTCTAATTTCCAGATCTTTTTGTTTCATTACCAGGCAGCATCTATTCAATGTCTTGTTTATTTCCAGTGAAGTTTTCTATCACAAGTGGGTTGCGAATGGTTAATGAGTGTCAGGTCGAGCACTTATTATAAAACTTAAATAACTTCAGTTAAGGGGCAGTGTCGTTAGTGTAGGCAGTGTACAACTCAGTGCCTTGAGGCAGGTGTCGGCGGTGTACAACCCCATTAAGGCAGCTGTAGGCGGTGTACGACTCCACTGTCTTCAGGCAGCTGTCGGCGGTGTACAGCTCCAGTGTCTTCAGACAGCTGTAGGCAGTGTACAATTCCAGTGTCTCGGGGCAGCTGTCGGCGGCGTACAACTCCAGTGTCTTCGGGAAGCTGTAGGCGGTGTACAACCCAAGTGTCTTCAGGCACCTGTAGGTGGTGTACAACTCCAGTGTTTTTTCAGGCAGATGTAGGCGGCGTACAACTCACGTGCCTTCAAGCACATGTAGATGGTTACAACTCCAGTGTTTTCAGACAGCTGTAGGCAGTGTACAATTCCAGTGTCTTCAGGCAGCTGTCGGCGGTGTACAACTCAAGTGTCTTCAGGCAGCTGTAGGCGGTGTACAACTCCAGTGTCTTCAGGCAGCTGTAGATATGGTACAACTCCAGTGTCTTCAGACAGCTGTAGGCGGTGTACAACTCAAGTGTCTTCAGGCAGCTGTAGGCGGAGTACAACTCCAGTGTCTTCAGGCAGTTGTAGGCGGCGTACAACTCCAGTGTCTTCAGGCAGTTGTAGGCGGCGTAGAACTCCAGTGTCTTCAGGCAGCTGTAGGCGGCGTACAACTCCAGTGTCTTCAGGCAGTTGTAGGCGATGTACAACTCCAGTGTCTTCAGGCAGTTGTAGGCGGTGTACAACTCCAGTGTCTTCAGGCAGATGTAGGCGGTGTACAACTCCAGTGTCTTCAGGCAGGTGTAGGCAGTGTACAACTCCAGTGTCTTCAGGCAGCTGTAGGCGGTGTACAACTCCATTGTTTGTCAGGCAGGTGTAGGCGGTGTACAACTCCAGTGTCTTCAGGAATCTGTTAGCGGTGTACAACTACAGTGTCTTCGTGCATCTGTAGGCGGTGTATAACTCCAGTGTCTTCGTGCATCTGTAGGCGGTGTACAACTCCAGTGTCTTCAGGCAGCTGTAGGTTGTGTACAACTCCAGTGTCTTCAGACGGCCGTAAGCGGTGTACACATCGAGGCAGAGGGTGAAGGAGGCCATGGGATGACGATGGAAGTGGACAGTCTGGTCACTGCGGGGCTTGTCCAGTAATCCTGCCACTGTTTCACCGGACCAGCGTCAACACATATTTCCGTCTTTGTGTAAACTACAAGCCCCTAACAAAACACACGTGGATTTAAACGGCCACTTTGAGCCGCAATATGCGGCTTTCCTTCTTGAGAAGGTTTAATCCATATTTATTTTGTACGACCTCCGATGTCGGAAGTAATAGCACGTCCCGAGCGCGCCACGGCTATTGAACCATTCAAACCGACGAATCTACGCGCAGCGAGTTCCTATTAAACTGGATCTCAATTTTTAAGCATAAAAAAGAATTAAAAAAAGAATAAGAAATTGATACCTTTGCAAGGTTCAATTAAATCTTGCCAGAGCCGATCGATCGGGAAAAGTACTTTGTTATTGTAGGGAAATAAACTGCTTAAGGCCGTAAAAAGGGCATTAATTTTATACAGTAGGTGTAATTGAACAAAATTATTTAGTGGTAAGAAAATTACGTCAAATGTCGTAGCCCAAAGACATACATGAATTAAAGATATGGCATCGTATATAAAATAGCAGGCATGTATCAGCACTGATGGGTATCTTCTGCGGCTTGACTGTCTTGTCCTGGGCTCACACACCGCCACACCACTCAATCAGCCCCTCCCTAATAGCATGCTGCGCCAACACAGGGCCCAGTTTGTTCGTGTGGCAGCTGTAGCCCCTGGCGAGATGCTGAGAAACAACTGTCAGGCCGGGTCGGAAACTCCTGGAGTCACCGGCAGAATGGTACAGCGAACATGGAGTTGGTCAACTTTCAAACCAGTGTTGTTGATATCCGTATCGTTGGTACCTATTTTGTAGGTTCCTGTGTCTTAGGTACCCGTGCTGTAGATACCTGTGTAGTAAGTATCTGTTGATAACAAACCTGAAGGTACCCATGCTGTAGGTACCTGTGTTGTAGACACCTGTGTTGTTTGTAGGTACATGTGTTGTAAGTGCCTGTGTTGTAGATACCTGTGTTGTAGATACCTGTGTTGTAGATGCCTATGTTGTAGATGCCTATGTTGACATACCTGTGTTGTAGGTACCTCTGTTGTAGGTACCTCTGTTGTAGGTACCTGTGTTGTAGGTACCTGTGTTGTAGATACCTGTGTTGTAGGTACCTGTGTTGTAGACACCTGTGTTGTAGATACCTGTGTTGTAGACACCTGTGTTGTAGACACCTGTGTTGTAGGTACCTGTGTTGTAGGTACCTGTGTTGTAGATACCTGTGTTGTAGATATCTGTGTTGTAGGTACCTGTGTTGTAGGTACCTGTGTTGTAAGTATCTGTGTTGTAGGTACCTGTGTTGTAGACACCTGTGTTGTAGATACCTGTGTTGTTGGTACCTGTGTTGTAGACACCTGTGTTGTAGATACCTGTGTTGTAGATACCTGTGTTATAGGTACCTGTGTTGTAGACACCTGTGTTGTAGATACCTGTGTTGTAGATACCTGTGTTGTAGACACCTGTGTTGTAGACACCTGTGTTGTAGATACCTGTGTTGTAGACACCTGTGTTGTAGATACCTGTGTTGTAGACACCTGTGTTGTAGATACATGTGTTGTAGATACCTGTGTTGAAGATACCTGTGTTGTAGACACCTATGTTGTAGATACCTGTGTTGTAGATACCTGTGTTGTAGACACCTGTGTTGACGGTACCTGTGTTGTAGACACCTGTGTTGTAGACACCTGTGTTGTAGATACCTGTGTTGTAGACACCTGTGTTGTAGACACCTGTGTTGGAGATACCTGTGTTGTAGACACCTGTGTTGTAGATACCTGTGTTGTAGACACCTGTGTTGTAGATACATGTGTTGTAGTTACCTGTGTTGTAGATACCTGTGTTGTAGACACCTATGTTGTAGATACCTGTGTTGTAGATACCTGTGTTGTAGACACCTGTGTTGACGGTACCTGTGTTGTAGATACCTGTGTTGTAGACACCTGTGTTGTAGATATCTGTGTTGAAGATACCTGTGTTGTAGATACCTGTGTTGTAGACACCTGTGTTGTAGATACCTGTGTTGTAGATACATGTGTTGTAGATACCTGTGTTGTAGATACCTGTGTTGTAGACACCTATGTTGTAGATACATGTGTTGTAGACACCTGTGTTGTAGACACCTGTGTTGTAGACACCTGTGTTGTAGATACATGTGTTGTAGACACCTGTGTTGTAGATACCTGTGTTGTAGACACCTGTGTTGTAGATACATGTGTTGTAGACACCTATGTTGTAGATACATGTGTTGTAGACACCTATGTTGTAGACACCTGTGTTGTAGATACATGTGTTGTAGACACCTATGTTGTAGATACCTGTGTTGTAGGTACCTCTGTTGTAGACACCTGTGTTGTAGATACCTGTGGTGTAGACACCTATGTTGAAGATACCTGTGTTGTAGACACCTATGTTGTAGATACCTGTGTTGTAGACACCTGTGTTGTAGTTACATGTGTTGTAGACACCTATGTTGTAGATACCTGTGTTGTAGATACCTGTGTTGTAGACACCTGTGTTGTAGATACCTGTGGTGTAGACACCTATGTTGTAGATACCTGTGTTGTAGATACCTGTGTTGCAGATACATGTGTTGTAGATACCTGTGTTGTAGACAACTGTGTTGTAGATACATGTGTTGTAGACACCTATGTTGTAGATACCTGTGTTGTAGATACCTGTGTTGTAGATACATGTGTTGTAGATACCTGTGTTGTAGACACCTGTGTTGTAGATTCCTGTGTTGTAGATACCTGTGTTGTAGATACCTGTGTTGTAGACACCTGTATTGTAGATACCTGTGTTGTAGACACCTGTATTGTAGATACCTGTGTTGTAGATACCTGTGTTGTAGATACCTGTGTTGTAGATACCTGTGTTGTAGACACCTGTGTTGTAGATACATGTGTTGTAGATACCTGTGTTGTAGACACCTGTATTGTAGATACCTGTATTGTAGACACCTGTGTTGTAGATACCTGTGTTGTAGACACCTGTATTGTAGATACCTGTGTTGTAGATACCTGTGTTGTAGACACCTGTATTGTAGATACCTGTGTTGTAGACACCTGTGTTGTAGGTACATGTGTTGTAGATACATGTGTTGTAGATACCTGTGTTGTAGACACCTGTATTGTAGATACCTGTATTGTAGATACCTGTGTTGTAGATACCTGTGTTGTAGATACCTGTGTTGTAAACACCTGTGGTACACAGGTACCTACCTATATCTGTCTTGAATAGTATATACCACAAACCCATCTAGATGATGGCATCTTTCAGCATCAGGTTATTTTTTAGCAGAGATACCTATCGTGTAACAAAAGATGTCCTAGTCCAGAATTGTTGACCCTCTCCGAACGCTCGCTTCAGGGCACGTTTACAAACAAATAAACCAGGTCGTTCGTTATTTGGGCACATCCATGATATCCCAGCCGTTGTGACCAAACGATACCCATTCAATTCATATCCCACAATGGGTTGATAACGCACAAATGTGTTGAAGGAGAGAGCAGAGTCTCTTGTTATTACGAAGGACGATAGTCATTAAGTATAATGATGTCCATGCGTATAGGCTGCATTTGAACAATGTACACAACTAGGCAGCATATTTTTGCAGGCTTTAAAGTAACTAGGTATTCTCTGTTGAAGAAAATGGACCAAATTATCTACCGCTATGCCATCAAGTATCTCCAGCTGTGAAAGGGCGAACTCCAACAGTCAGACATGCAGACATGGTGACAACTCTAGGGGATAATGCTCCTTCCTTAGACTAACATCTAGTCTCTGAAATGAACATATCGTACAGAAAAAACAGTTGATCAGTTATCTTAATAAAAATATAATAAAAAGGGAGCCCAGTGATTCTCTTCATTTTCAGATACTGCAGTAATCTAGACTTGCCAAACATTATAGACTTGCATGGGCTGTAGTTGATATATATTTGTATCAGGGCCTGTAAGACAGACTACTCCTTCCATTGTCACGTCTAAGAAGTGGACAGTGGAGTGCAAGAGGGGATGACGGATGTTAAAGAGGATCCAAACTCAGGAAGACGTTCTACTGCCACCGTTAAGGAACAAGCAAATACAATACATCATATGAGTATTTATGATCGACGACTCACGACATGTCCTACAGCCAATACGGTAAGCATACCCAATGTGAGAGTTGGGAACATTCTGAGGAATAAACTGGGCATGACAAAAGTGTCAGCAACCTTATTCCAAGGCTTCTGACTCCTGATCAGAAACGTTCCAAGTTCATCAGATCTCCTGAGTATTAGGTACACAGACTTAACAACAGTCAAAGCAGTGGAAACATCTAACGTCTCCTACCGCGAAGAAGGTACAGTCTCAATTTGGCGATGTCTTATGTTTTCTGATTTTCCTTCTGGCGATCTACCTCCGGAAAGATCAGACCATTCATGGCCAATATCACGCTAATTCGCTCAGAAAACTGCGTATGAACATCAAGGCTAAACGTCAAGGACAACTCATTAATGTTTGTTTGTTTTTCACCAGGACAATGCACCTTCACTGAGAGACAAATTGAATATTTCTGGGGAGTTCAGCAGCGGTGCCTAAAACGACTCACCAGGGTGTCAGTTTGACCACCAAAAGAGCAATTCAGACTCTCACAAGAGTAATGGTGATTCTCATCATAGTAAATATGAGAGTAAGGCCACCGCTTCATGTAGTAATGCTGACTCTAT